CAACGCTGACTGGCCCCGGTGTACGAACATCCGTCAAGAGAACGGGTGTCCAGACGGCGGTTACCGCCAAGCTGGAAAAGGAAGGTCGCATGATCACCCGCTATTGGGGTAGAGGTTGGAGAAGATGGCGATACTAACTCAAAGCGACAGAGATCAGCTAGCCGGCCGCTGAAGCAGAAGCCGTAGCTCTGGACAACAGCAGTAGCAACTTCCTCACCTCCCTCGCTTCCTCAACCAAGTTGTGTCAGGTTGGCGTTCGCCCCTTCAAAGCTCCCCAAGGACTCGTATTGAGGCCAACAACAATTCTCTAGAGGTTCGCAGCTTCTTTGTCGTCTCAGCGCCTACTGACAGCCCCCGGTCTTCTAACTTTACCCTTGTAGCTGAAGCGGCTGCCAGCCACGGCTAGGTGCGGGTTGAGCGACTAGCGAGTATACGAGCGGACGATCAAGAGCTAGACTGGTGCACCACCTACAACGAACTAACTAACCCCCATGTCGGAGAGTGTCATGGTAATGTTTGAGAGCTGTGGCTGTCTATGGATAAGGGGGCGGTCGCTTGGTCTGTGTTGCTTGTACGAGGCGGGATAGAAGAGCAGGGCAATTGCTGAGACAAGTGCAAATCCAATGAATCGCTGGCCGTAAAGGACAGGAAAGAGACTGGGTTTGATGTGGCCGTACTTCAGAGGTGGTTGAAGCAGGAGTAGACCAAGTTGCCTTCATCCCTACAGGCTGGAAGGAACAGGGACCAATCCTCGGCCCCACACTTACCTCCTTGTTTTTTTACTACGCATTCGTGTTGTTTGTTATATGTGACAGGACGCCAGTAGAGGAATCAGTCTATTTGGCGATTACTCGAAACGCTGTCCAAATAGATTTATTGTACATACGTAGTTTAATGAAAATCAAAAGGGTTCAAAAAGTGTAAGAGAGGAAACTTCGTAGAAGCCGAGAAGTTTCAATATGGAAGCCTGAGACGGCAGGAAATAAAATTACATTTACTCAATGAATCAACAGATTTAAAGCTATTCACACTGGTTGCTCCGATTGTCTTAGAGCAGAAAACTTCATTTTAAAATAACCGTCATATAGTAGTAGCGGCCGTGGTAGGACTTCAGTGGTATATATATAAACAGGTAATGCCACCTAAATCCGTGACTTTTCTTCTACTTTGTTTCTAAGATTGTACCTAGGTAAAAACATATATTTCAGCGATTTTTTTTCATGTACTAGAAGTATAATTCCTACTTGAGTATTCAATATAATCACCGTCTACCACAAGTATAGCTTCAATCTGGGAGCAAAAACACTTACTGGTCGTTTTGAAAATACTCTTTTTTGTATCCGCAGATAGCTTTTTAATGGTAACCCTGTACTAAACTAAAATACGCTACATACGAAAAATCCATGTGGAATTAATTTTTGGGCTAATAGCAGGTCAAAATACCTAAAAGCGCAAAGAGATTACAGGAAAGTTCAAAAGATGCAAACAGCCTCAAAAAGACTAACCGTTAGATCTTTTTTAGAGGACTGACCCACCCGCTAATTAACTTTTACCCGTTAAAATTACCGTCAATTTTTTGTATAAAAAATCTAAGTATAATAAAATGGGTGTTTAGGCTCTTGCGATAGTTTCTTAAGATCGTCAAGTCTAAACTGTATTAAAGACCGTCCGGATTACATCATGGAAATCCTCTTTCGGATATGTATATGCATAATAGGTCGGTGGCAAAGTCAAACAAGCTAGACGTAGTTTAGCTACATAATATATATATTATTGGGCCCGTTCGTTATATACAGAATTTAACGAGGGATAAATAGGCCAGCTATGAAAGTGACTAGGACGACGATGATCATGATAACGCCCTACCTGATGAATTATTGTGGTCGCGTCAGTTACTCCTACTTCTAGTACTGGTGTCATGGTTAATATCAATAGTAATGGCTGTAACCAAGAATACCTTTAAAAGTCACGGGCGTCTGCTCGCGCTCCCCATTCCTTTCTCTTTTATTGACAAGCAGCAGTCGCCTATTGACGAAGGTTGTTTATGTCGGACGCGTCTCTTTACCTAAAGCATGCAAGTCCGAATCGAACGGATGGATGAAGCGCGGCGGCAGGTCAGCGAGTCAATTTGTCATCAGCAACTACGACAATGACTACGAAAGAATTAAGCAGTGGACCCTTCAGTCTCCGCCGGGCTTACTAAGCTCGCGCGTTGCTATAGCAATTGTCGAAGATGGCCAGCAGCCAGTGGGGCAATGAGGATTCACGATCGGTGGACTTGAGTGGATACACTCGTTGGGTCTGCGTGAACTACAGAGCTAATGCTCGTAGAAACAGCAATCATTTGTTGAATACCAACACAACGGAGTTACAATATGACTACATAAAACGTGAGATTCAGACAAGTTGGTAGTTATCATTCACGCGACATGCAAGATCACATAGAGGACCCCTGAGCCCCGCAGCGCTGAACGCATCGAAGTTACCAACGCTATCCGGTCCATATGACAACCATCAAGCCGCCATTTTGAAAGATTGGGCCACTTAGTTTACCTCCCGCTCGCACACCTCCGCCCTCCGTCCCGCCTGGCCATAGAAGTAAACAGTAACTCGAATAGTGTTCGCTGCCGTAGAAAGCTTACCAGTCACAGATCGCCGTACGATGAATACTATATGGTACCAGTGGTTTACGAGTGTAGAGCACACAGTGGAACAGAATTCAAATCACGTAGTTTGCCTGGCCAGGTGCGCGCGGGAAAGCTACAAATTGACTATTTCGACGGCGTCGACGGGAGGCGTTCACGTTGCTTTCTCGTGAGAGAAAGAGAAGGGGGTTCAAGCTTAGAGGGAGCATGTTGTATAGGCCGTCGTGGCAAGCGACGAAACGGCTGTTCCAGAGAAACGGGGATGTTGGCCTTGGCATAGAACCCGTAATGAGGGCCCAAGTCAAAGGGAATGATCTCAGGATCCGTACACTCCTCCCTTGTGATTTTCCTTGATGAGAAGAACGTCCTATTAGATATACAGTTTGAAATATATGGGCGTATTTGTTTATATACGCGAATAAGATCGTTTCATCCATCACTTCGGCCATTAAAACACGACCTGAGCGGTGTTCTTGCTTGCGGTTATTCACCAACATTCATTTCACTAGAAGTCGGCAGCCCAATGACCCGATGAATCTCTTTATAAAGGGAAAGTCTCTTTAGCACTGCCTATCTGTCTGTCTAAGGGTTCGTTCGATGGGGCCTGCTAGTTGTATTGGCCGACACACTCGTGAACACATTGCCCTTAGCTCTGCTGGATGACTATAATCAACATTCATGGTGGTCGCCTATATCCCGTAACCGTAGTGTCGTGTATGTCCCGAAATACAACGGTGAAGGCAAAATGTCCCTCATCTACAGCTGCTGCTCTTCAATCCAAACAATAATACATCGATATACATTTCTTCACAATCTCTTGGTACACCAGAGTCAACATCGCAGCTTCAGACACCTGTAGCGCTGGAGCGGACGTCATTCTGCTTATCCGAGGTCCCGTATCTGTTTCTAAGGCAATAATAGTTGAACGGCCATTTTCCTTTCATTTAAACCGAAAGAAGATGTTGCTGGTTCGTTTGGCTGAGAACAGCGGTGCCCGTCGTCGACGTAGTAGCCAACTGTAATGATGAAGGGACGCTATCAAAATTTCAGAGCAACGTCTGTATCGGAAAGACCTCAGCAGTTTAGTATATTTCCATTATTATGTTATGTATCTGTTCCGACTAGTCGCTGCTGTTATTGTTGAAATTATGATAGCTCCACCTTCATCGTGCGAAATTCAGACAGGCGCTTTTGCTGCTTCGTTTCTCCTGTCGACTAACTCTTCCGTCACTTCTTTACGTCTCGTCTCGGAATGTCTTTATTATTACGGCCGGCGTTTTACTGTCCAACGCTTGAATCTTGCCACAACTGGGCGGTGTAAAAGGGCAACTCCGATGGGGCCGGACAGATAATAATAATGTCGCTGTCCCTGCGAACGAATCAGCTGTCGTAGTCGTAGTCGTTCACAAACAGTGAAATGCTTCGTTACAAAGTTTGCCAAACCGTATCGATTTGCCGAATTAAAAGATTCTTTTTATAAAAAAAATATATGTATAATAATATAAAGACATATAATAACATAAACATGTACACCTATGTACATACAACAAAGATCTACGCAGTTCATTAACAGTGTTTGAAATATTGGCCTACTCAAATAGATATCAATTATAAGCGAAATAGGAGAACATTTGAGTGGTGGGATCAGCACATTGAAGTTCGAAATTTTTTGCAATACTGCGCGGTTCAGATAAAGGCTGACAGTTATGCTATTGCCGCTGTCAGTGACGATGACAAGTTTTGACAGCATTGCCTCTGTTCGACCTTCGACACACCGAGCGTGAAGCCTGCAAATACTGTTCCTCAATAATAGCTACGAGCAGCGGCGGTTGGTGTCCCATCGTCCTGTCATTGTCGGTGAGTAGAGAAGACAGCACTCTGGCAGGGTAAGTGGGTAAGAGAGAGTCTTGCTGTTTCGAGGGCCTCATCGCCTGGCCAAATAGTCTAGCACGTGATTGTACTACTGCTGCCGCTGCTACGACCAACAGCGACAATCGCCAATCGTTCGATTAGAACAGCCTAGTACTGAAGATGCAAACTTTCCAAAATCAACTTTCTCAGGATAAGGCATCTTTCTTACCTTACCAGGAGCCGACAGTGTTAACCTAATGAGTGACTTGATGATGGTGCTAATGCTTATTCTCTTCGCTTATTTTGAACGTAAGGAAACGATCCGACCAAACGTGTCAGCTTGATAATTGTTCTGGATCGATAGGTTAGGTTCCGATACGCGACTACAGAGTACACAAGTGTGTGTCTACGCTATTTATTTCTCATATAGATGATTAATTTCTCCAATAACAACTAGAATAAACAGCTCACTAAAATTACTCAGAAGACGTTGTTTACGCTTACCGTCCTAGTATCTTGGAGACGCAACCGTGTGAGACCCGCAGCTGTCGGCTGATGTCACATGGTCGTACGCCCTGGTGGGCAAGTTCGACAATGCGTTGTCGAACGACATCGGGCAAAGGCCGACCGTTGACAAACACTCCGCCCAGTTGGTTCACGCCGCCGTGACCTGCAATAACATCATAGACACGCAGAAAGATACTCGAATTATCACTTACTCATTAATTGAACATTTCCGAGATTCACTTTTCTTGGCATTGCAGAAGTGGATAGTCTTTCATTCTTTTGTTCTAATCTTTCGTTTCATTAGGTTTAAAAAAATAGCACTCTGCAGATTTATTTATAGAAAAATGTTATTTTTGTGTTCATACTTAGTTCCGGATGCCGTTTTCTGCAAAAAGCAGTATTTCTTCTGCAAAGTGTTAAATCAATAAGATAACAATAATAATAATAACACTGGTAATAATGTACATCTGGCAGTGCAAGTAGGCTCAATCTACCATAATAACTCTCTAGTAGTTATTGCTTGGTAAGAGGCCACGCCACGCTAACACAGTCGGGCGTGCAGATTGTACACGGGTTAAGGAGGTCCCTCTCGTGTGGGTCAGTAAGTGGATGGCGGCAGTGACGACGACCGGGGCGGCGTGAGTGGTGCTACATTATGTCCGTGTTGACTACTCAGTGGCCCACCATTAGTCGGCTTCGGGAAAGAGAGTGCTCCTCATAAGAGCTTGGGCTCCGTTTCGGCCAGCCTAGGGCTGATTTGGAATAGGACAGGGAAAGGGGGCACTCCTGGAGGCTACTCCCGGTAGCAGTGGGTACGACAGAGCACTACTACTAGTGACGCTCGTCCGTGGTGTGCCAGTGTGAGCACAAACGCGAGCCACTTCGTTTCTGCACCGCCGACAATCTCGTGTCCCTTCTTCTACATGTCCTGTTTCCACAAGCTGTCGCGTCTTGTACATTGGGGGAGAGCAGCGGGGACTGGAATTGGCTTAGAGCCAGGTTCGAAAGCGGAGAAAACGACTCACACATACACTCACATACTGGACTGCTGCTGCTGCTACTGGTGCTTTCTCGAAGAAGTTGCGACGATCGAGCAAAGGAACTGGTCCTCATGAGAGGAGTGTACCTTAGTCGGCCCTTCCGGGAGTGGGCTTGAGTAGCAGAAGAAGAAAGGACTCGCGGACAGGCTGCCTCCCTGTTCGTACATCGTTCGTTGTCGCGCTGGGAAGCTGTAGGAAAGCTACGAAGACTACTAGTAAGAGAAGAGGAAGCAAGAAGAGGAAGTGGAAGATTTATCAGGAGCTCGAGGGGAAAATGCCACCGTTGAGGCTGTGACGGAACAACCAGAGGGCATCGGACGGCTGCTAGTCCCACCCCCCGCAGTAGTAGGGGCTTCCGAACGGGATCTCACTTTCTTCTGCTCTACAGGCTAGACCAGCCAGCATTGCGGAACAACTCCCGCTCCGCAACTCAAAAGGCAGCTGTAGCCTCTAAATGGGGCTGTGTCTGGCCGACCGGGTCTACCCCGTTCCCGTACGCTACTCCGTCTAGCCCGTCGCTCGATCGAAGTACTATACCAAGTGAATAGCACAACTCGGCAATCCGCGTAGCACTCTCTAGATTTGCAATGGCAGTCGTAGTACCTAGAAGAAGGTTGCTGCTGCCGCTACTGCTGCTGCTACCACCAAAGAGTAGCAGAGCTCCACCACCGCCATCAGTACATACGGAACAGGAAGAAGAGAATCGATTGGAAGGACAGAAAAAAGATCCACCGGCATCAGTAGGACAAACAGTAGTAGTTGTAGTAATAGTAGTAGTAGCAAAACAACAACAACAAAAATAAGGGTGATTGCTTGCTTCTTCAATGAAGGAAGGTTCTTGGCGGTGGCAGGCTTTCGATTCAAGCCAGGAGAGAGTGGCCTACCGGTCAGTCAGACCTTCATACAGTAGTTCGTTGGTGCCTATTGTGATTATCGTTGTTACCATGTTTCCATCAGATTCGCTCTTCCTTCTCGGGACTGCCAATCAGCAGTTTCTTCGTACGACTATGGCTAACTTGCTGGCAAGCGGTAGTCGGTTGCCTACAATAGAACAGAGCACGCCGGAGAGGACTGTAGTATCGCGCGGGTGCTTGGCATTCTGCCGAACAGAAGGACAACGACGCCGATACAGGCGAATGCTGCACCCGTGCCACCGGTACCATCGCGAGAGGCCTCTACAGAGAGCGCCGACGGTAGCAGCAGCGGCAGACTCGATGCGCGGTTCAGGTCAGTCTATCCGCTGCTGCTGCTAAGCTGGCGGAGCGTTTTAATCACATCGCTATCTCTCAGCCTGTTCCTATCATCGCGGCGGCGATGACGATATCATAAACTCATCGCGATAACGAATGAGCACAAGGCAGCGAAGAACAAATGCGCGCAACGAAAAGTCATTACGGATCACGAACGAGTGAGTGGCTAGATTGATAGCGCCGGTATAACAAATGATTAGAGGGTGAAAAATATGCAAAGGAACTTGTTCTGTTGGCTTTTAATAGATACATATTATAGTTGTTGCAACGACAATGGTACGATCATTTCCAATTAGCTAATCAAGTGTACGTGGAAAACACATTAATGTTAGATGTTGGAAATCCAGCAGATAAGGTCAAACTGGCTCTTGAAAGCAACGACAAAGATGACGCTAAAAAATGGAAAATAATCTTTATGTGCTTTACAAACGCAAAAGCTATTCAAAAAAATAAAGTTATATAAAAAACGTGGTCAGCAAAAATCAGAAGGAAAAAGCCCTCATTGCAAGGCTGCTAGAGGCGACAACAAGAACACACGTGTTCACATTCAACAATTTATCTTCCTATGCGCTCTAACTCGCTGCCGGCAACGTCTGCGCACAAACGGCACAACTGAAAAAGAAAATCACTTTCATTTTTAATTTTTATCAGCAGCTTCGTCATTGTTCTACTACCCGATGGGTAAGTAATACCATTTTGGGGCAGCGGACCGGTGTGCCACACCGTTGCTAATGGTCGAGTCTAACCAATGTAACACCATACATGTCTTTGTCCTTTCGTAAATCAGCGCTCAAAAACACAGCGCGCGCTGCTGCTGCTTAGACGGCGGGTTAAGCGGCGTTGGAGGTCCTTCAAAACTCTCTTTCACTTACCCCTATGTTGTCGTTTGGTCTATAGCAGCAGTCAGTGACGTAGCACCGACGAAATGGCACTGGTTCATCGTATTTTGCTGCCGCTCTTAGCCTGCCTTCTTTCTCCACTATCCAGTGTTTCAATCGTATCGTTGTCGTAAGTATTAGGGAAAAGGAGAGAACGAAAGCTGCCTTGTCTCGCGTTCGGCCGTTCCGTGAGATCTGTTTGTCGCTTTGCGGCAACAGCGACCGAAAAGCGCTATGGAGGAGATCGCGTTCGGCGACCTGGGATAGCGGACATTTTCTTTTTGCTGCGCCTGGTGTTGGTGCTGGTGGCGCACTCTACCGTCGCCGAAGCTACTAAGGAACATCTTTTGTTGGTGCTGTTTACGAGACCCGCCGATACGTCGCATTACTTCCAAATGGTTTTTCTTTTTCCTGTCGACCTTTTCGTCTAGCACCGGTAGTGATGGCTATGTTTGTTCTCTTCCCGCTACAGTAGATGCCCCCTTCGCTAACTCCCGTCATTCTTATTATACGGAGACGGCAACGGCAAGTAGTACCGTCAGTGTCATAACCACCCGCTGTTTTGAGCTCTCTTGTTAGACGAGAGGAGTGAATTAATCATATTATTGATACAGCACCTTCACGCGGACCCATACACAGAGAGAGACGATACGCAGACACCAGGCAACGCATCTACAGTGGACTTAAACAACGGTAGCAACAAAACAAAAACATGAAAGATGACTACCCAGCTCTGCCGACTACGTAGAGCCCCACAATCACACGGGCATAAGGACTACCCCTAATGGCAGGCATATTGTCCTTTAGAGCAGTGGGCAGCATCTCGGTTACGGAGGTAGGTAGGTATACGCTTTAGATATATGTAGGCATTACACAAAGCTACGGCGGATGATCGACAACTAACGACAGCCCCAAATACAGTCGTCATTGTAGAATGATGTGCGACGATCAAATTGAGTCAAATATAGGCAGAATACCTGTGAAACGAATAGACTTGGTAGGAAGTACACTACGAAATGCGAATCCGATCCTTGCTTCAAAAAGTTATTAAATATAAAAGGTGTTCAACAGTAGACGATTTCGGTCAATCTAATAAAAACTATAAATATAGTATATTACATAAGGAGAGAGTAATTTGACATTAACTAAGGGTTACCTAGTGATTAAAGCTTGCGCCGTTACTGACCAGTGTAGCATGGGTGCATATAGCTAAGGCGCGCTTATCTCAACGATGGATGGCTGTGGTAATGGCCACAAGGATAAGATCTGTGGTCATTTGACACGACTGCGTATCACGGCAGACGGCAGATATAGCTGCTTTTTTCTATCGGTTGGTAGCTCCCTGTTCTTTGGCAGGGACTTTCTCATAACATGGCGTTATTTTTGGACTTGCTGTGATCTTCTATTGTGCACCTCCTGTTGCGCGTCCGGTGCCTGCTAAACATTGAGTCGATTGTGCAGCTCGAAAATTTACGAGATTGCAGAAAGTCATATAGCCACATAGGCAATACAAATATGGTACTTAGATGTGGGGTAGCTGTGAGGTGTCGTACCCGATCGTATCTGCGGCTCGAAATGCATTTCACAGATTGTAAACCACCAAATCTTTTACTGTAGAGTGCGTGGCTTCGTGGTTAGCTGGCAAAAACATCTCATTTGTTCTCAGTCTAGTTCCCGTGTCCTTCTGCTATTGCCGCTGTTTATCGCCTGAACAGGTCACACGTATCCACTAACAGAGTGAACTGTTAGTGCTGCTGGTCCCTTCTGTGATTGTGTTAACTGAACCAGTCGGTACATACATACACAGGCAGAAAGAAGGACAAAACAAGCACTGGCATAGTGCTTGCAAGCAAAGATCTACGGAGACTTGCCGCCGAATTTGTAGACGAATATATAGACATAACTATCGCTGACCATCACTATGAGAACGGATAAAGTCTACGCACGGTCTAAAATAAAAAGAGCAGTTCGTTTATTTTTATCTATTTTCCTCTC